TAAGGATACAAGCAACAAAGTTACAGTCATGCAGCCATAAGTGGGAGGAGATGGGTGATAGGAATGACGAGAAGACTAATAGTAGTAGTAATGCAATAGTAGGAGACATTCTTGTTGCTGAAAGACCACTGGAAAAAGAAGGGAAGGGAGAAGGGGGGAAAAAAGAAAAAAACACCACTTCTCTCAGTTTTTCTTCCTTTCCTGGATCGCTGCTAGCAACTGGCAACTGGAGAAAGCTATTTAGGATTTCTGCTTCAGCGTTTAACCATTTCATGTCTTCACCTTCCCCAATGCTACACTTTCTGGACGGGTCAAACTGCAGCCATGTTCACTTCAAGCCGTCATCATCTGGCAGGTGTGAAGGTGAGCGTAGGATTGAGTTCAGAGCATGCATTGCCCCGTGCTTATGCTATAACAGCAACAAGCAATTTCCTTGAAGGTCTTTCTCATCTCCAGACTCCGGAAAGCGTATATAAGAGGATCAATGACCGAGTTGCACATGATAAGAACCAGGTAGGTGTTGAAGTGAGAAGTGTAGCAAAGGCAGTGCGGGTTGGTGGGGCAAGAAATGATGAGGATAAGATGGAGGAAAAAGGGTGCCCAGCAAATGATGAAGACACCCAACAGAATAGTAATCGTGACAGCGCCTTTCATACAGGTGCGTTGGTGGGGGACTCCATCCACCGGGAGGGCCGCAATGCGCTTGACATGTAAGCGTGCAAACAGGAACATGTGAATATAAAGCAAGGCCATGAAGAAGAGCATGGTGAAGAACATGGTGATGAGGCAGACAATGACCGTTTTGCTCTCGTAGTAGGCAATGAACATGATGCCGCAAAAGGTACAAGCGGTCCAGATGACCCCGATAAGCGCCAGAGCTTTCCTCACAGTCATGATGCTGTGGTACCGGAGCGCATAGAGAATGGTAATGTACCTGTCAATGGCTATGATCAAAAGGTTGCAGATGGAGGCAATCAAAGAGATACAGATCATGGAGTCGAAAACGTTGTCCATGTTCTGGATGAAGTGGTCATCCATGGTTAAGTAGCCGTTACTCAGGATGGCAATCATGAGGGTTTCCAAGGCATTGGACATCCCCATCAGTATGTCTGCCACAGCCAGGCTACAGAGAAAGAAGTACATGGGTGAATGTAGGTTGCCATTCTTGATCACTGCAAGGATGACCAGGATGTTCTCAAGAAGGCTGATGATTCCAAGTATCAAGAACACCTCGGCTTTGACGAAGACTTGCTCACAGAACTCATGATCCCCTCTGTTGCCAAAACCTGAATGGTTGACCTCTTCAGTGGCATTGAACAAGACAGGCTGAAACCTCAAAACCCAGGGTGCTGTGGTGTTCATTGTGAAGAGCAGAGATTCAAGTTTACCTGCATTTATGGGGTGGTGGGGAACAACCACCCTTAAAAGATAAAAATCTACTGTTTCCTTTATTGAATGAGATCAGTTGTAAAAAGAAGAAGAAGAAGAAAAAATAGAAAAATCCCTTATCTGATGCAGAGTTCTGAATCCATCAATCCAAAGAAGTGAGTTCGTTTTGTGCCAGTAGAATCTGAACAAGCAGCAAATGCAGGAATTTTAAGGAACGTCTCTTTAAAGAAGAGAAAGGTGGCAATTAAGAATCCCTTTCAAAAGAACTCCTCTTGTGGATTTGATAGGACTGGCTTTGCAATCTGCTACTTGGTCTTGGGACCCCCAGTTCAGTCAAGACAGCTCTTCTAGCTTCAAACGATAAGGATAGAGCAGGAATAGGAGACAGAAAGATAAGACGGGCTTGCATTCGATTTTATACTTTCATCAATGGAGAGGAAACACTCCTACTTAATCATCCGTGACTCACAACAACCACTCAAAAGCAACTTCTGCCTTGACTGATGGTTACCATCGCAGACTGCATAATCCTCATTGCTCTCCAATTCAACATTACTTAGCGCCCTCTGGAGATCAGAGAGAGAATAGGTGTACAATTTTTGGGAGATACAGAGAAAAATAACTGTAGAATATAAAGGAGGACATGTGGCAAAATTAACAGAGAAACATTGTCTGCTCTATAGATGATTCTTGTCATCTAGAGCCTCTCGGAGGGGTTGTCAAATGTTCTAGATAATATTTCATCTGCCTTGATTATACAAGCAGATTTTTGAGCAATCACAAAGAGCTTGGGCCTTTATATGCTAAACAAAATGTATCACTTCCAGATACTGCGGTTTGTATTTTCTTTAGCCCTGTAATTTTTCTAGCACCATTCTCCCTCTCCAATTTCATCCACCCAGCTCTCCTGTGCTTTATTTTTATGCATGCATTGGAAGAAATGTCCATCTGGGTTCAGTTCCAAGTGGGGAGAAAGACACTGGAAACAATGGTGGCTGTTTGGAAAGATGGTTTTAATNAGGTGGTATTCAGCAGGTTCTGACCAGTTCTGGAGAACCGGTAGTGGAAATTTTGAGTAGTTTGAAGAACTGGTAAATATCACCTCTGACTGGCCTGGTCTTCATCTATTCTCTGCTTCTCGAGTCCCAGCTGATCAGGAGGAAATAGGGATTTTGCAATGTCCTTCCCCTGGAGTGGGGAGGGAATTGAGATTTTACAGTATCCCCCTGCCACGCCCACCAAGCCACGCCCACAGAACCAGTAGTAAAAAATTTGAATCCCATCACTGAAGCAGATACAACAGCTATACTAGTTGTAGAACTAATGTTTTCCTAGATTTTACCAGATATAATAATAGCAATAGCACTTAGACTTATATACCACTTTACAGTGCTTTACAGCCCTCTCTAAGCAGTTTACAGAGTCAGCGTCTTGCTCCCAACAATCTGGCTCCTCATTTTATAGACCTCGGTGTTGTATACTGAAAGAAAGTCCTCACAGTTACGAATGACAGCTCGGTAGCAGCCAGGCGCGTCTTAGCCAATCAGACGCGCCTGTCAGTTGGTCGGGCGAAGCACAGCCTGTGATTGGAGGTTCTAATGACAGTTGGAAGAGCCTGCCTTTTATAGGCAGCTCGGCAACTGACAGGCTGTGCTTCGCCCGACCAATTAGAACGCAGCACAGGCTGTTGCTGGGCTATAATACTCGGAAGGAGGGAAGGCTGAGTCAACCTTGAGCCTAGTGAGATTTGAATTGCCTAACTGCTGGCAGCTGGTGATCAGCAGAAGTAGCCTGAAGTACTGCACTCTAACCACTGGACCACCATGGCTCTTTAATTATTCTGGTCATCACAGTAATTGATTATAGGCTGCTTTCCAGAGAAACATGACATACCAAAAATTGAATAGAATGGAGGCTCTGTTCTAGAACTTCATTTAGAGTAATGTTTCTGTAAAAGACCACTGGACAACTATCAGGGATCTTCCCTGCAAACAGCATATATAGTTGTGCTCTCTCAGCTTGGCTATTTTTAAAAAGACATTTCATTACCAAACTAGGTAGCCTTATCAGTGCACCGTCTGTAAGAAAATAACCAAGCTCAGAGAGTACCAAGGTCCGCACAGTCCAACCCTGCGTTACGAATATTCTCTTCAAAAGCACATACAGATTCACTTTGGAGTCCTTTGTAAGTCACGATCTGTATTAGAGAACATTAAGTGCAATTGATTGCATTTAATATTATCCCAAAATTGGTTTATTTGAATCAACCAATTGGGTTGGTTCAATATGCTAAGCTGTGACAACAACAAACCACATTTAGACTTAGCACATTGAATTAAAGGTGGCATGTTTGAAAAGTATTATAGTAGTTTTCATAATTAATGCAAACTATCAAACAAATGTAAGCTATTCCCAGTTGATTGTTCTCGTTGTTCCAGAGAAACAACATGTTGAAATAAATGGTGATGATAATAACCAAGTGCACACATCACACAAAGCCATTCATTTGCATCCTCTTGTAGGAAGTTAAAACCCACCTCTCTGCTAGAAAAATGAAATATTCCTGAAAATATTAAGAAGGCAGAATATTATATTTCCCTGGATCACAAATGGAGAAACATGTTTTTAGGGAGGAAGCACTCATTATTAATAGCCCCTACTTTGTCAATGGGCCATTAAAATGCCTAAGCTGGTCTATTCTACATAACAAAGATCCTCCCCAGCTCTGGGGTGATGGGATTAAGGCATGATAGTATTAGCCCCTTACCCATCTCACTACAGGCAACTGGGAAAAAAGCAATGCTCAACCAAACGTGGACTCAAGGCAGCCTACAGAGTTGCCCCTGCATGGCCCCATGAGACTCTGACAACCAATCAGAAAACAAGCTCAGGTTCAAAGGACAGAGAGGTCATAAAACCAGGAATTTTCGGCATCTCGTCCTTTTTTTTCTTCACCCAACATCTGGAAGCATGTGATCTCCCTTTTCTGCTCAGGAGCTCAAGTCACGTGATCCTGCCTACCCAGTGGTGGGTTTCAAATTTTTTTAGAACCTTGTCTGTAGGTGTGGCCTGCTTTGTGGGAGTGGCTTGCC